TCTCTGGAGAAGGCTCTGATGCTGGAAAAGGTGGAAGGAAAGAGAAGAAGAGGATGACCAGAGGCCAGGGGGATGGACTCAGTTACAGTGGCGATGAGTATAACGTTGGAAGACTTGAAAGATCAATTTAGGGACCGAATGCCATGCAGGAAATCTATCGATGGAGTCCCTAGGAGTTGACAGCAACTTGATGGTACATAATCCATCCATCAATCAATCAATCAATCAAAAAAGTTCAGGTGTGGTGGGAAATTAAATCCTTATCTTAATGTGTCATTGAACACCAGCGGCTCAGGGCTGATTTTATTCCATGTTCAGTCTGACTTAGATTCTCCCGTGCAAGGGATCTGTTCAGATTTCTTCTAAAAACCTAGCTGTCCGTTCCTGTCAACCTGGAAGAGAAGAAAAGATGATGTCGGCAAAAATACTGGTGTTTCCCTCCAGTGGCAGTTCCAGACACTCCCATACAGTAACGTATGTTCTCCTTCTCCTCCTTCACCTTCTCTGCCACTTCTAGTTCTGTGAGTCAATGACCGAAAAGGCCTTGCCCGTTTTATGACAACTCACCATTTGTCATGATTTACAGCAAAGGCTGGAGCCAACTGTAAAACTGGAATAGAAAAAGTCTTCTCATTAATCAAATATGGGCAGCAAAAAAAGAAAATGGTCCAGCTCGATGCTTCATGGAAAACCAAGGAAGAAACCTGGGAATCATGGGCATCTTCAAGAAGCATTTTTGCCAGAATGTGGCACGTGATTTTTTTTTTTAATAGATCTATTAAAAACCGGTTTGATGTTTATTGTTCTTTTCCTTTTGATTGCGTAGGTGTACACACAGACATGCCCAGGCTAATTCTTTCTTCCTTCCTGCATTCCTGCTAAAGCTAAGGGCAGGATCTGTTTTTTATTTATTTATTTATTAAACCAATTTATATAGCCACCCATCTCACCACAGGTGACTCTGGGCAGCCTACAACAAATATAATCTCTCACTGCCCACGGAGCTGTATAGGAGCCAACCGGTCATGTTACACCAGAATATGGCTGATGTATGTACATCATCGTATGCAAAAATAACAAGCTTAGCATGTTATGAGAATCCAGGCAAACAGGAGGGCTGGCTTAGTCTATGGTGGCAAAAAATCAGGAGTCTAGTTGCACTTTTTCCAACTAACTCATATTAAACTATTTATTTAATGCCAATTATTCAATTATTTTAGTAAACTTTATTAAAAGGTAGAAGGTTTCATGAGCCGGAGCTGGAGCTCATGAAAGCTTCTGCTTAATAAAATTGATTACTTGGAAAATATGCTACTTCTGATTTTTTGCAGCAAAAAACACTTATTTCCAAGAGAGATGGCAGCACTACAATCTTCTACCCCACAGTTTTTCAGACTTGGCAACTTTAAGATGGGTGGGCTTCAGCTCCCAGAATTCCCCAGCCAGTCAAGCTTTAAAAGTGTGGAGTTCAACTCCCAGAATTCTCCAGCCAGCATGCTGGCTGGGGAATTCTGGGAGTTGAAATCCACACAACGTAAAGTTGCCAAGTTTGAAAAACACTGTTCTACCCAAACTCTTAATATTAGAAATTCAAAATAAAATGAGACACAGAGATACAATAGGCAGTACAGACCACAAACTCGTCTGCGGTCAACCCAAATTAAATTCCATTTTTGCATTTACCCAAGGTAGCCCTCGGTGCTTTTCTCTTCTCTGCAGAAGCCAGAGGGCGCGCGGCCCCTTTAAGAACGGCCGCAAAAAACAAAACAAAAAAAAGGAGAAGGCGGGCTTGAGGACGCCGTTACTGTGGGAACTGGCTGGGGGACGTACCAAAGGGTACCCTTGCCGACTCCGCCCTCCGCTCATTGGTTCCCGGCTGTCATGTGGTGTTTCCGGACGTTCGGTCGCAGGGCGAAACCGGTCCGCAAAGGGGGCAAATGTGGGC